AGCACAGAGATTTGGTCACAGTGTAACAGGGCAGAGATTTTCAGGGAGAAACCAAGATGACTTTCTGCCACAGAGCCCATGCTTGCTGCTGGAGCCACTTTTCTTCTAAAGCAATTTGTCGAGCTGCTTGTTGTCGGAGGAGCAGGTGGCCCACCAAATGTAATGTCAGCTGAAGCGGTTCAGGATTCCCCATTGCACCGGGCTGCATTTCCATGTATTCCCTGCATCTTAGGCTGTTGTCAAATTCCCGGCCAATGCATCACTTGTAGGTGGGTTTAGCCTCTAACCTGGTACACTCTCCTGTCCTGTATGTCAGATTGTTCTGCCTGATAGTATAACGATATTTACCAAGTCTCTCCTGCCACATCTTGGTTAATATTCGATGTTATAAGTTGGGAGGTGTTAATTATTATCTACTGTCATAATAGTTTGCAATCTATAATGAGAAAGAGGATCCTTTTTATGACACACCTTAGCTTCCCCTTTTTCTCTTCTCTATAGGGTGACTAACTTGTCAACCATTAATTTGAAATTACAGCCTTACGTCATCCAGTTCTGGTTTAAAATGCCCTTTATGTATCAATATTTAAACTTACATACATTATCGTCTTGCACTGAGTAAGGATATCCTTACTCATTTACAATAATTAACTCTGAATTTCAACTTAAGCACAATCCCACTCGGACCTTAATTCAACTTAACTGAGTTACTTCTTGTCTATCACTCTTGCGTCAGTCCTATCTTCATTGCCTTGGGTTCTATTTATTTTCTTTTTACTTTGTTTCCTTTTGGTGCATGGTCCCTCTTCCTGGGGACTTGTAGCGACTTCTCCCTCAATTGCTTTTTCCTTTCTCTCTCATTTATGTTCAGGGCTTGCCTGACCTGCAGTGACACCCTATGAACAATAACAACAACCCAATCCTGATGTCCCCAAAAGGGGAAGAGGATTCCCCTCTCCATTTTCTTCTTCTCACAAATTACATCTTTACCTGCTCTTGTTGGAGCTTCTCCCTCTTTGTTAGTCCTGGACATCCCCTTTCTCTCCTTTGGGGTCTCCTCTTCTTAGGTTTTTTTCTCTCCCATCTCTAGTTTTGTTTTTTTCCCTGACAGATCCATGCCTCTCCCTCTCTCACTGCTCCTCTCTAGCCCTGCTTCTCTCTCCCATGGCTTGCCCAAGCATCATGGAGCAGCTGCTTCAGAATCTCCATTCTCCTCCTGGTCCTGTACCTTCTTCTTTTTGTTCTTCCCTTGCCTCTCCTGCTGGGATTCTTTTATTTATTCCCACTGTCTCTCCACAATGTGCCTGTGGAAAATAAAGAGATCCCTCTGTAAGGCTTAGAGGAAGTTATGGTATAGAAAGGAAAAGAATATTTAGAACTGCAAAAATTTCTTTAGCAAGGCCGTCTTTTAATTACCCAGTGGAACGATAAAATCCCAGCACTAAAAATGTGTCTTTACAAATCTCTAGCTGCAGTCATTAGCCCCACACCTGGCTCTCCTGAGGGATTGCTCCTGCCTTCTTTTCAGATTACTTACCCAAACAGAAGTGAAATCACTCCTACATTTGACAGTATGATATAAAATATCAGATGAAGCTGTTAAGATATCATTGCATGCAATGGGTTTCTTCAGAGTAAGTGTCTGCTTTTTTCAATACAATTGTTAGAGCTAAACAAATAATTCACAACAAAGGGTTGATGTGATGAATCTCACTTCTTTCTCTGATCTTGGATATTTCTGGAAAGAACATAATCAGGAATTTATTTACCATTCAGATTATTTAATTGCATTGTTCACAACTTGTGTCCATTTTATGAATGGCTTTTTGAGCTAAGTGTCTTAGCAATTAGTTACCCTATGCATCATATGGTAGTTGGGATTTTTTTCTATTACTGGTAAAAAACAACACAAGTGAATATTTAAATGAGCAAACCAAAAATTTTTCACAGAAAAAAACGTGTGGTTTTCTCATGTTTACTTGACAGACACTTCCACAAAAACTGTTTCCCTTTGTTTATGTAGAGAAACAAATACCTTATGACACTGCCTCCTGCACATTTAATGTTAGATCCTCAAAGGTAACTTTCTCATTAGCTATGGGCAGGTGTTATGGACTCTTTCCTTAAAACGAAGTTATCATCGGTTTTGGGAAGAAAGAAATGTGGGATGGTAGTGGGGTTTTTGAATTAAAGCACTTTATTTTAATCAAATCTAAACCAAATCTGTATGTAAACTTACATTATCATGCAGCAATGTCTACAAGCACCTCATGCTGTTCTGTGTGGCCTGCTTCCTAAGGAAGTATTGTAGCTATCGCTGCACAGTGCTTCAGGTAAGCTAGTCAGCCTGCTGCAGGTAACTAATTGGTACCTCATACATCTCAGGACAAATGTAGACTTATCTGTAAGTATTTCATATACCTAGTAAATGCAGTGACACAGAAAACAGATCAGGGCTGTCCAACTTCAGAATGACAGCCGGCCACATACCACACAGAGTCCTGCCATGAAATCAGCACACCCTCCCCCAGCTGGTGAACTGTGGCTCATGCCATAAAATACTACACATTCCCATGGAGTTTTGTTGCAATTAGCAAGTCTTCCCCCCACTGTAGAAGTGCTCCAAGTTCTCTCTTCTTGTGGGTTACTTGGGCTCTATCTCCGTAACTCACCACCAAGGAACGGGACAGGAAGCAGAAACTAGAGGAAGACAGGGAGCCCGGAGACCCCAGCAGCAACAACGAGAATGGCAGTGGGGAGCAGCTCCAGGACAGGAGCCCATGGGCTGTAAATTAGATCCTTGAGGGAGATGAGTTGGATAGCCATGATATTGACAAACAGCTGTGACAGCAGCTGCATTAGTTAAAAACAAAACAAAACAACCCCCGCCAAACCTCATGTTTTTAAATCTCTGCTCCCCTGATAGGTTTTCAAAAAGTGATCCCCTTTACTTACTTTGGGATGTATTATGTTCCCATGCAACAGACTACTTCTCATTAATTGTGCATGCATCTGTATTACAGTATGAGAAGAACAGCTCATCCTCAGGGACATCAGAAAGGAGAAGAGTTTATAGCAATACAATTGGCTCCAGTCACCAATACTTAACAGGTACTTAACACTTCCCTTAAACAGCCCACTTATGGCATCCATGGTGTTGAAAAATTAGAGGGGATTCAGAGAAAGGCCGCATGACTGACTGAATGATGGGAAAACAAGACTTATAGTAAAAAATGCCTGGGGATCAAGTTGTTTACTTCAGGACTACTCAAGTCCTGGCTCATGGGCTGGATGTGGCCCACAGAGCCATATCATCTGGCCTTCGGGGCTCTCCATGGGTCTGAAAATTTGGCATTGGGGAGCCATGGCAGTATTCAATTGCCACTCCCCTGTTGCCAAATTTCTGGGCTTATGTCAAGCTCTGGGAGTGGCGAGAGAGACGCAGGTGAAAGCCCACTGTGCCCCAGCACCCCAAAGCTCCCCGGTGACCCACAACTTCTGCGGAGCACCCCTGCTGACCCCCAGCAGCAGCCGGAGGTAAGTGGGGCCTGTGGTGGGAGGGACTAGCCTCAGCCTAGCTGTGGGGAGGCAGCTAAGCTGGAGCCGAGGAGGGTCTCGCCCCTCCCTGGCCCCTACTTTGCTCAACTCCCCAGAGGAGCCACGCGACCAGAGTCGTGCGAACAGGCTGCACAAACAGGAATGCTTATCTGCCCAGTGCACAAGTTAGCACCAAGTTTGCGCAGGAGGGTGCGCGGAAGTACCCGAGGCCCTGCCTGTGAGGCCCCTTGGGTAAGTATTCTGAACCTAGCCAGCCTACCAGCGGCATGCTCTGGATGGGCACACACCGCAACCCTAGGGTCCCCTTGGGGCCTACAGCCTCCCTGCTCTAGCGCCTCGAAGGCTTCCACCCAGATGAAGCCCATGGTTCTGGGCTCTACACAAACAGAGCCTCTGGCTCTCAGCTGTGGGGCCTGCCTGTCACTTTTTCAGGCTCTGGGGTCCGGGAATATGGCCACCTCCCCTTGTGAGATTTCCCTTTTCGGGTCTCTAGCGTGCCAGCTGGAGGAGCTCCAGACCACAGTCTAGAGACTGAGTGCCATCAGGGACTGTGAGCAGGAGATCGACTCCTACTGCCAGGCCCTTCTCCCCCAGGAGATGGAGGGTAGACCACAGTCTCCCTCCAGGACAAGGGAGGACTCAGGGACCTCCCATTCTGTCTAGCCAAGTGGTTGGACCAAGGTGGTCAAGGGCCCCAAGGCCCGCCGCACCAACGTCCCTGTCCCACTGGAGCTTTGCAACAGGTATGAACCTCTTGCAACCCCAGCAGAGCCTACTAAGTTGCCAGCTCCTGCAAGCAACACAGGCTGTACTGTAGCTACCACTCCCGCTCTCCCTAAGATGAAACGCAAAGTGTTTGTCATGGGAGACTCCATCCTGAGGGGGACTGAGGGGATAATCTGCCACCCTGACCCCTTAGCCCCGGGAAGTCTGTTGCTATGCTCTTTATCCATGTGGGCACCAAGACATGGCTCGGAGTGCTTACAGCCAGGTCATGAAGCACTACAGGGATTTGGGAGCAGGGCTTAAGGGGTTGGGGAAGCAGCTGGTGTTCTCATCGATCCCCCCAGTCTCGGGATATGGACTGAGGAGGGAGAGGAGTATCCAGGTAGTGAACCAAAGACTGTGGTGCTGGTGTCATCAGGAAGTCTTTGGCTTCAATGACCAAAGTCCACTCTTTGGTAAGAGAGGCAGTGAGCTGCTGGGAAGGGACGACCTCCACCTCTCACCCCTGGGGAGGAGGCTCTTCTCAGCCAGAGTGGCTGGCCTGCTCCATTGGGCTTTAAACTAAGCCCACCAGTAGATGGGGGGACTACCACCACTGCTGGCCCACTGAACAACCCTTGCAAAGCAGCAGACCAAGGCACTTAAGGGAGCCCACACCTGCCCCAGCCCTGGAATGAACTGTAGGCAAGGCAAGGGCCCCCAAGGGGACACTTGTGTGCCTATACAAAAATGCCAGGAGACTGGGGAATAAACAGGAGGAATTTGTCCTCCTGCTTAACACAAATAATTATGATGTCATAGGGATAATGGAGACCTGGTGGGACTCCACCCATGACTGGGCCAGGGTTATAGATGGCTATACCCTGTTCATGAGAGATTAAGTTGACAAAAGGGGTGGGGGTGTAGCTCTTTATGTCAAGAAGAGCAAGCCAACATTGGCGCCCAGGGTGGATGACTTGAGACCCTCTGGGTTAAAATCTGTGGGGAACATGGCACAGGGGACACTATGGTGGGAGTCTACTACAGACCCCCTATCCAGGATCAAGACCTTGACTAAGAGTTTGCCAAGAAATTGGCTGAGGCCACATGCTCCTGGTGCATGGTTGTCACAGGAGACTTCAATTACCCAGACATCTCGTGGGAAGAGCACCCAGCCAAATCCGAGCGGTCGCAAAGCTTTCTCTCATGTGTGGATGAGCTCTATCTGATGCAGGAAGTTTATCGGCCAATGAGAGGTAAAACACTCCTCAACCTGTTACTGACAACTGGGGACGACCTAATCAGTGACCTAATGATGGAAGGGAAGCTGGGTGACAGTGACCACGAGCTGATCACCTTCACCATCCACCGTAAAGCTGGCAAGTCAGTCAGTAATACAGAAGTCCTCGACTTCAGGAAAACTGACTTCAACAAGCTAAGGAGGCTTGTCAGTGAGGTCCTAAAAGGGCCACAACCCAAAGGGGAGGGGAGTCCAAGATGAGTGGTTGCTCCTCAAGGAGCAATCCTAGATGCACAAGCAAAATCTATCTCATCTCGAAGGAAAGGCAGCAAAAGGGCACAGGAGACCCCTTGGCTCTCTAGGGAACTAACAGACCTCCTGCAGCTAAAAAGAAAGACCTACAAAGGATGGAGGACTGGATCCACCTCCAAGGAAGAATACTCTGCATTGGTCCAGACCTGCATAGAGTGAACCAGGAAAGCCAAGGCTGTGATGGAACTCCAGCTCACTGCAAATATCAAGGACAATAAAAAGTCCTTTTTTAGTTAAGTGGGGAGCTCGAGGAAAAGCAAGGACAACATTGGACCCCTGCTAAACCAGATGGAACAACTGACAACTGATGCCCAGGAAAAAGAAAACTTGCTAAATGGGTACTTTACATCAGCTTTTCACCAGTCCTACGGGACGCCTCTGGCCAATATGGGACATGGAGACCTGAGTGAGGGAGATTCCTTACCCTCCATCAAAGATCACCTCACGAAGGGACACCTTGACAGGCTTCCTTCAAGTCAGCTGGCCCTGATGGTTTACACCGAAGGGTACTCAAGGAGCTGGCAAGCATCATAGCTCAGCCCCTGGCATGGATCTTTAAGAACTTCTGCTGCTCTGGTGAAGTGACCAAAGATTGAAAGAAGGCCAATGTGGTGCCTATCTTCAAGAAAGGGAGGAAAGTGGATCTGGCAAACTACAGGCCCATCAGTCTGACCTGTATCCCGGGGAAGGTCTTGGAAAAGATTATCAAAGAGTCCATCCTTAACAGACACTCTGACAGCAACATCCTGAGGGATAGCCAGCATGGATTTATTGTGAGTAAGTCTTGCTTGACCAATCTCATTTCCTTTTATGACCACGTGACCTATCACCTGGACAAGGGGGAAGACATTGATGTCGTATATCTTGACTTTAAAAAAGCCTTCGATCTGGTATCCCATGATAACCTCTTGGCAAAACTGGCTAACAGAGGCCTCGGCCTCACCACGATCCTCTGGTTGGGGAATGGGCTCCGTGGTCGGACCCATAGGGTGGTGGTTGACGGAAGTCATTCGTTGTGGTTCTCTGTGACCTGTGGGGTTCCTCAAGGCTCTGTCCTAGGGCCTAGACTTTTTAACATCTTCATTGATGATGTAGATATTGGTGTGAGAAGCGTACAGGCCAAGTTTGCTGACAACACCAAACTCTGGGGTAAAGAGTCCACACCTGAGGACAGGAGGGTAATCCAGGCAGATCTTGACAGGTTCAGGAGATGGGCGGATGAGAACCAGATGGTGTTTAACACTGAAAAATGCAAGGTTCTCCACCTTGGGAAGGAAAACCCACAGCATGCTTATAGCCTCGGCAGCGCTATACCGACTGGCTAGCACTACGGATGAAAGGGACCTGGGGAACATGATTGACCGCAAGATGAACATGAGCCCTCAGTGTGATGCTGCAACTAGTAAAGCGAGCAAAACACTGGCTTGCATCCATAGATGCTTCTCAAGCAAATCCCAGGACGTCATTCTCCCATTGTACTCGGCCTTGGTGAGGCCGCAGCTGGAGTACTGGGTCCAGTTTTGGACTCCACAATTCAAAAAGGATGTGGAGAAGCTTGAGAGAGTTCAGAGGAGATCCACATGCATGATCAGAGGAAAACAGACTTTATGATGAAAGGCTGAGAGCCATGGGACTCTTCAGCCTGGAAAAGGGCAGGCTCAGGGGTGATCTGGTGGCCACCTATAAGTTTATCAGGGGTGCTCACCAGGACCTGGGAGAACATCTGTTCACCAGAGCATGTCAAGGGATAACAAGGTCGAACGGTCACAAACTCTTGCAAGACCATTTCAGGCTGGACATAAGAAAGAACTTCTTTACTGTCCGAGCCCCCAAGGTTTGGAATAGACTGCCGCAGGATGTGGTTCAAGCACCTACTTTGGATGCCTTCAAGAGACATTTGGATGTTTATCTTGCTGGGATCCTATGATCCCTGCTGACTACCTGCCCCTGGGGCAGGGGGCTGGACTCAATCCTGCAGGGTCCCTTCCAGCCCTAGTGTCTATGAAATCTAAATTCTATGAAATCTATGTGGAGCCTTGCAGCCCAGATCATGTGATCCTGAGTGCCAGATCAGGCATGTGGGGCCTTGGAAGCACAGAGCCTGATCTGGGTGCACAGGGCCAGGGCAGCACAGGGCTCAAACCAGGTGCATGTGGCAGGTTGGCACAAAGCAGAATACAGGCACTCTGAATGCAATTCTGGTGGTGCAACGTAGGATACAGGCCTACAGGGTTTGATTTGGGTGCTGACCTGGGGAACCAGCCCATGGATCAGCCCTGCATCATGTATCTGGTCTGTGGGACTGTGGCAGGACGGGACCAAGGGGTGCTGTGAACTCCCCTAGCACCCCCCCCTACCGTGCCAAATTGGTTCCAAATGCACCTTCTTTATCTCACCCGCCATGTCTTTGATGGTAAAGATTATTAAAGGGAGGCTGCCTTCTTACCCTCTTTGGCACAGTGCTCTGCGATGTCCCAGTCTGTGCCCTGCCTTAGATAACACTGCAACTAACTTCAGGGGCCACATGTGGGTCCTACAAATCACCCTCGCCCTCACGGGCCCTCTGCCTCGTCTCCGTTACCCGTGGCCTCATGGACGTTCTCCGGCTCATCTCCCTATCTGCCTATGCCCTCTCGCCCACCCTGGGGCCTTGCCTCGCGATTCCCGCCTGCCCTGGGGCCTTGCCTTGTGATTCCTGCCCGCCCTGGAGCCTTGCCTCGCGATTCCCACAATTGAGGCTTAGGTGGCTGTAGCCATGCCTGACCCCAGACCCCTTTCTCAGGTCTACAACCCCCACTGAGGCTCTGGGGTCAGTGCACCCCCTTGGGGGCTTCTAGTCCTATGCGCCCTCCCTGGGGCTTCTAGTCCTATGCGCCCTCCCTGGGGCTTAACGCAAGTACCCTCTGGGCTTCTCGCCAGTGCCCACTCTGGTGCTCCTCACAATTGGGGCTCAGGTGGCCGTAGCCATGCCTGGCCCCTAAATCCACTGCACCCCTTCTCAGGGCTGGGGTCAGTACCCCCTTAATGCTGTGCCCTCTCTGGCACCGGGGCCTCCACACCACTGTGGAGCCCCATGAGGCCTCCTCCAACCCCTTATAGCCTCACCCGGTCCTCCAGTCTTATACAACAACAAAACCAAAAACTCCCACTCCTGGGCTACAACATAAATTCCAAGCCAACTGGCTATCCATCATTCATCTCCCTACCAGGGTTTCCTCCACCCTGTATCATCCCACAGAAGGTTCTCAGACCATCAGGCTTCCCTACTCAACTTGCTCCAACCAAGCTCCACCTTCCTCTACTGCCAGGCTTGTTTATATAGGCCAGGCCCTGCCCCCTTCTGGTCAGCTGACCAAACTGGTTGTCTCGGCAACCCATCCCTGTGCTGCCCTGGTGACTGGCAGCTGAGCCTCCCCCTTCTCACCACTAGGGGTCTCCCACAGGTTGCTTCCATTTTAGGCGCAGGGTGCTTAAGAGCCCTGCAACAGGGACCAAGAGTTTGAGTACCACTGATCTAGTTTATCAAAGAGATGGTTAAGGAAAATAAAACTGATATAGAATTAAAGGGTTGGACCATAAAAATCATCTTATCCTACTCTGCATGAATGTATAAAAGCCGCTTCTAAACTATTCATGATTAATACTTATCCAACCTTGGTTTTTTAAACCTCCAATGAAGGAGATACAACTCCCCAGGGCTGCCAACCAGTAAGTTATCTTCCATTCTGTATTTGGATTTTTTATTCTTCTTAGGTATAGCTTCTTGCATTTGTCTGTATTGAACTTCACTATACCTTCTCTATTCCAGCTTTCCAATCTATCAAGATCCTATCAGAGGACTCTAATAGGATTTTACAGGGCTCTTCAGTCTAGCAAACCAAATTATAATGAAATTCATTTGCTGGAAGGCTATTTATTTTAGATTCAAAATAAGCGCAATTTTAACACTGAGCATAATTAATCATTGTAACAACTTACCAGTGCTAAATTCTATATCACTGGTCCTTTTAAAACTATGATTACATACTTTTTGATATTTAGTTCAAACTAGTTGTCTAATTCAGAGAAGTTCTATAGGCTGAGCTGATCAGACAAGCTGCCTGGGCAATTATAGGATCTCTTTCATTGGAAGATTTCAAGAAAGGGATGGATAAACATTGGTCTGAATAGCAGATTCTGTATTTGTGTAGGGGGATAGACTAACTGCTTGAAGTCTACTAATCTATATGCACATCTTTTTATTTGTGTTGAAAGCTAACATCACATTCGTACCTTTATAGGGCACTCCCACTTCCAGCATTTGTCCTGTAGTCTGTACTCTGAGCAACTTAGAGCATATAGCAGGTTAGAATGTGACCCTGCTCCCACAATGGGAGAGAGAGCTTAGCCAGAGCAAAACACTCACAAAAATACTCCTAAATGGTCATGACTTTTTTGTAATGAACCTTACATAATGCAATCTGGTGGTATCTGTGCATGTTATTTGCATTTTTTCCTTGTATCAGGAAGGAAACTAGTTCTCTAGCCAGGTTCACACCCTATACATTTGATAGAGCTATTTCCAGAACACTGGTTTGTGAATCTGTCCTTTGTAGCTGAGTCTGTAATGACCAGCATCCTGTTCCTTGATGAAAGGTCACTGTGTCCTGACCCTGTCAGCTCAACCTCTGTCTTTTAGAATCAAATGAAACTGTTTCCCATGGTCTGCAGGAGGAACATGCAGTGAAGCAAAACAGTGCGACAAACTGCAATTCTTCAGGTTCATCAGCATGCCTCTTAGAATAACTCAACTGCAGTTAGTAGAGTTTCTCTAGATTGACAGTAATATAATCAACAGCAGAATTTAATTCACAGATCCCTCCTCCCAGGGACATCTCTGTTGAGCAGTTTCTCAAGTTTCATTGGCCTCTGCCCACAAACATGTTTCATACTGGCATCCCCATTATCACCATAAGAATTAGTGTTCTTGTGACAATGAAGGAAAGGAAAGCTTACTTTATGCATTGAATGAGGCATTATTGACTGCCAATTTGCAGGAGCTAGCTCCACACCACATGGTGGCAAACCACTTTATTTTATTTTGATTACATTTTTTGTTTTTGCATGATTACCTACATTAAGTAGATCATAATTAACAGAGGATGAATAAGATTTCTGCCACTCTGAGTATTAAGTTTTGCCACAACAAATGAAAACATAATTATCATTACATAGCACCCTTATCTGTGGAACACGCATGGTTAGGATGATAGTGATTTACTGATAGTCACAAGCTCATTTAACTACTGAGAGACAAGCAAAAAACATTTGTGACTGATGTGACACAACAGTTACTTTGCATATTGAATTGATTCCTTACAACACTGAAAGCAAAGTACACTATGCCTCCTCCATCGGTTTATGACCAGGGAGCCAGAAAATATTTCAATTGGCTGTGTAATGTAGCAACCCTTGTAAAAGAGAAGAGACAGAGTTTATTTTTAATCTATATAAAATGGATTCTTTATTTCAGCTTCTGGGCATGGGATGCAATGCCTAAGTGTTTTATGTTTCCCTCTAGTACAGGGCGGGCAGTTATTTTGGGTGGAAGGCCACTTATTCAGTTTTGGCAAGTCATCAAGGACTGCATGGGTAGCCCTGCCCCTTGACAGGTGCCCCACCCCTGATCACCATCTTGGGACCAGAAGTCCCACCCCCCAACCCCTGACCTTTGCCACCAGATTTCCCTCCCCTTACCCTCCAGAATTACTCCTTTCAGCAAGGGGTTTTGCCATCTCTGAACCAGAAAAATACCAAATTGTATTCTAAAAATCAAACATATACTACAACATTCATCAATTTCATTTCAAAAAATATTTTTGTCCTGAGTTATGTTTTTGTGTAATGTAAATAGAAGTAAGTATAATAGCTTCAAATTAAGTCTTACTCTTGTATGTTGTGGGACGGTGTAGGTGGGAGGGTAGGGAAGAGGGGGGCAGAGAGGGAGTAAGAGCACAAAGGTGGCTCTGGAGTTCATTTAGAACTGGAATTTCATCATTTTGGCTGGGAGCATTCACAACTTAGCTAGGAATCTCAAACACTTGCTGGGAGTGTGCAATCAAAAAGAAGTGAAAGGAAAGCGATAT